TTTTTTTTCCAAATGTTGAAGTCAATGTCATTTAAGAAATTGAACTTTTCAAATATATAATAACAAAATAGAGAAATTGATTAATCAATTATTAGTAGTATCAATAACAAAAAAGATGAACTACTATTGTTGTTTATTCTTATTTTTTATTTCTTTACAAATAGCAATTGCTAACTTTTCTTTTTTATGTGATATATAATATGTTATTTTTATTATAAGTAGTTGAGTAACTGTGAACTCTTAATTAGTTTATAGGTACTTAAATTGTTGAATTACTAGATTAATACACTTTACAATATAAGCTACATATATTTTGTAATAACAAAGAGTTTATGACAAATTATTAAGAATGAATTTAACAAATAAACAAATTTAAAAAGCAGTTTAAAAAATTTTAAAATTTTTTATGTAAGTCTTTTCACATCGGAGAGAGATGTTGGCTAGTTCCAAGAGAGAATGAGAACAAAAAGAAAATAAAAGTTAAAAAAAATTAAAAAAGCTAATAGAGAAAAAAAAAAAAAGAAGAAAGGATTTAAGATAGTAGGGGTAGTATTGTCCAAACATATCATTCAAGGGGGGCAAAATGCCTATTATTATAGTTTAGGGGGTAAACTGCAACTGGGTATATAGTTTGTGGGGTTTTTTGCATTTAACCCTTTAGAAAATAAAGTGATCTTTTTGAACCCAATAAAAAAAAAAGTATGATTAACCACTCGTATATTTGTGATGGTTTAGCGTACGGGTGCAATGAATCGCCCTTAGTCGAATATCTCACGAGATTGCTCGGTTAAAACTTGAGTTCGAACTCGCATTGACCAAATTCGAGCTCGAGTTATAGCGGTTTGAACTACTTGACAAATCGAAATTGAGTTTAATATATGAAGTTCGAAAGTTCATTAAGCTTAATTGAGTTCAATCGAGCTTCACACATATATGTTTTTTAATTTTTTTTATTTATTAGTACGAAATATCTATTTTTGTCCCTCGTTTAAAATTATGTAAACTATAAATTTATATTTCTTAAGATTGATTAGGCTTGATAAGCATGAGTTCAAACTCGAATTTGAGCTTAACTTTCAAGAGTTTAATGAGCTCAAGTTCAAGTTCGAATACAAAATTTTTTAACTCGAATCGAGGTCGAATAGTGCACTACTCGAGTTCGACTCAATTCGATTATACACATAGTTTAGTGATCATTTATTTCAATTATATTTGTTTGGATAGGAGTTTGTTTAGATGATTTATTTGAAATAATTACTGTAGCATTTTTTTGTGATATAATGTATTTAAGATAAAAAGATGATTGGAATTTATGAAACAAATTATTTTTTCTCAAATCATCTCAACCCAAACACGCACAGTTTTGGGCTATTTTCTTGGTTTCCTAGTTTATGGTCTCAAACACTTCAACATAGCATCTTTTTGTTACAAAAATGTATCTGGGCCTTGCATTGTTGACGCCTATGAATTTGGAGGCACCCCAGTCCGGGAAGCAAACTTCGTCTTTAGAGCCGTCAAAAGTTGATTTGGCTTCTTCCACACTTTATACCGGTGCTCGGGGTACATTTATCTGGGATGAGATCGTTAGATCGCATCTGGATTCTAACTTTTTTTTAGAGTTTTCAAAAAAAAAAAATTATAACACTTTTTAAAAGATGTGATATACATCAGATAAAAAGATTATTAAAAAAAATAAGAGAAAATACTTTCAAATACTTTCACGTAAATTTGAAATGTCTGTTGTTAAAAATGCAATCCAAACAAGACTAATATTTTTGCAGTTGTACATGTGGTAAACTATAATAAAAATGAAATCACAAAAAGTGACTAAAAAAAAGTTTGCATGGTAAGAGGCATCATGTTTTGGACACACACTTTTTATCTTTTTTTCAATAATCAAGAAAAAGAATAGCAGAAAAATGTTAATGAAGAAGATCAGAAAAATAATTTTTTCTTATTTTTACTCCATAGGTGATCTAAACGAATTTTTACAGTCGACCAATGTCATTCTACATTATTATACAATTTTTTTGTTTTGTGAAAGGCATCCTTATAATAATAGATTGAAAAGCCACTGTGGTATGACAAGTAACGTGGTGCAAGGTAAACTTGCGGACAAAACAAATAAATGTCTTTTTCTGCGGCAATCAATTAATTGATAGTTAACCACACCGATCTTTCTATAGTTTGATCAAAATATCAAATCAACTCGATGGTTTAACCAAGTTACATACATTTACCCCTTACGAGTAGTGGCGTCCAAACTCAACTAACATAATTAGTGAAATGACAAAAATATCCTTTGCAAAAATTACATTTCCCTCCATTAGAGTTTGTTCAAATTATAAGAAGGACCCTATAATTTGACTTGAGCGCAATTCAACTTTTGTAGCTAAGTTTATAAGAAAATCTCTTATTATGATAAAAACAACCATATTAAAAGGAAAAAACTCTATCATATTACGAAGAGATAAAAATTAAAAAATTAAGAAAATTTATGCATATGGCTTATTTTGACCACTATCATACTACCCAACCCACATTTCTCATATAAAATTAACTATTTTATTTAAATATACAATTTGTTATATAATAGTACAATTCAGCTAGAATATATGGTTATTTATCCATAACATAATATTTATTTTTAAACCTTAATTCTAGATTAGTGTTTTTGTTAGCTTTTACTTCTGAATTTTAAATTGTTATCTTTGTACAAAACCTTAGAATAAAATGCTTAAAGGTGGAATTAAAATTTTTTATTTTTTTATTTTGGAAAAACAATGTTTAATTGTGTACACCTTGACATGGGAAAATGTTTTTTAATATAAAAAATATATAATGTTGGTGACTAAAAAAATTGTACCAATGGTCAAAATAATATTGTTTGTGATGCCATATAACTAGAGTTTTAGTTACACTAACTATAACTTAGAGGGAGCATTAGATGGAATAAATGTAATTATTGAGTATTTTGAGATTTTCATCAAAGATTTTGTTGCAATTGGTGCAATTGACTAGTGAAAAGTGTTTATTAAATAAAATATTGGATATTTAAAGCATTGGAGTAATTTGGACAAATGGTGGGGCTAATTTTGTCATTTGGACTAATCTTTGGGTGTAATTTGAACAAACATTAAGGGAGGTAATTGTAATCAACAAAACTTACAAAAGGGTATTTCGTGACTTTTAGGCATATTTTGCCCATGCAAGTACTATTTTCTAATGGAAGTTAATGTGAGGGGACATTTGATAAACATTTTACTATCATTGACGGGGTATGATTATAATTTGATCAAATCATAGGATCCGTTACGTGATTTGACCAAACCACAAGAGAGCAGATGTAGTCAACTCATTAGTTTTGAAAGGATAGTTATTAAACCTGGTGAAGGAACAAATAGACAAGTTACTAGTTCAATTGGCGAATCACTAAAATAATGTTTGTAAATAGGGTAAAACATAAAAACTCCTTTGTGGTTTTTGAGAAAGTCAGAAAGGAATTTAAACCCCCCCCCAAAAAAAGCAAACTTCCCTGTATTTTGAACTAAACTAGAACATGGATCGAAATCATTCAAATAAATGAGTTTGAGGTATACTGGCTTGATATGCGAGTATAAAATTGACATCTGAAGGGGGTAATTTGCGGCCGGGTTTCACAATTCTTTCACGAATCCCTGCTCAAAAAAAAAAAAAGAAGTTGGTCCCTGCTTCCGCATGTATCATTTGCGTATTCTGGAATCAAAATGTGTTCTCAAAAGGAGAGCAAATGAGCAATATCAGAAATGCAGTTCCTGTGGTCCAATTTCTCATTAGATGGAATCACCTCAGTTCAGAAGAAACTTTCAGCATTGAAGATTAGCCAATATTCTTTCTAGAGGAGGGGAAGTTGTCAGGAGCCAAGTCTGAGACCGATTGCAACGAAGGCGTTTATGAATTAGGGCTCCATTGACGTTTATTGAACAATTTTGAATGGCAGTGAACGCTGTTATCGCACTGTTGGTAATTTACCCATTCTGATTGGTGGGAAGACACGACAATTTTCAGTTTACAAGATTTCATTTTGTGTCTCTTACCTCATTCTCTTCTTCTTTCTTAGTAATCATACGGTCGCAAAAATTCGAAACACTACCAAACCCCAAAGCACGACGCCCGAAGCACCTACTCCAACAGAATTAAAAAAGAAAAAAAAAAAAAGAAGAGAAACATACATTCACCTCTAAGTTAATATTGGCAAATTTTGCTATTTAAGTCACTAAATTAAATGTTAAATATCTAGTGTAGTAATTCTAGTTTTACTAGTAGCGTAGACAGAGTGTATCTATTAATGAAATCATCTCTTGTGAAAAGTAAAATATATATTAAATTAAAGGTTAGGTACTGGTTAAATATATATATTAAATTTCATCCTACGTCAGCATTTAAGTTTGCAAGACTCAACTTATTAATAGCATGAACCACATTTAGAATGAGAGGGTGTAGATTTAACTTCTCTCTATTATGAGAAAACGCGAGCAGCGCGCGTTCAAACACACTACTGAGTTTGTTTGGTTATCAAGAGTTGCAAAAAAAAAAAAAAAAAAAAAAAAATCAAAATTTTTTCTCCTTAGACCATAAACACACACTATTGCACACATGCTAGGCATAAAGGGAATTTTATTTTTCCTTCATTGAAAAACAGTGGGCGCCTGGGGACCTCTAGAAATGAATGATGAGCTTTCCCTGTCTGTCCTTATTGCTGATTATTGTCCGGTAAGCTGTAGAAAAAGTGTGGCAAAAACAAGCATACTGCGGCGAGCATAAAATGACATGCACTTGCAAGTGGGCACATAATAAAGTCGAGAAATGCCCATCACATACGGTGAGTGCTTTGCATTATTGCTGCTGATTCACTGCTCCTAGCCAGCCAGCTGCTTGCTTCTTTGAATTATTGCACACTATTTTGGTGTTCCGTTCAATGCTGGGGATGGTTCATATTCAACCTGAGGCAAGGCTTTAATTTTAAGTTTCGAAAAAAAAAAGAAAAGAAAAGAAAAAAGGGACGCACTTTTAGATGAGTAAGAGTCGAGTTTGCGGTCATTAATTGTCTTTATCTTCTTGAAGATCGATAAGAGCATTTTTTTTACAGTGTTCAGTAGCTGAATATCCTAGCCTTTACAGAAGAGTGTTGCCAGCCTCCCAGCAAATCAGTTGTGAAGAATGCCTCTCTGAAACACCTTCAAGGTGAGCTACCTCTCCACTACTTTTAAGTCGTTTATTTGTGAGCAAATTACCAAAATTCAAAGCACCATGTACTAGATCTTTGTTGATCTGTTTCATCTTAATTACTTTTCCAGGGAAGTAATTGGAGCATATATATATATATATATATATATATATATATATATAGCTCAATGGTTTCAAGTACTTTTTTTTGGTTAGTTTTTCGTTTTTCGTGGTTAAAGACCTTTGGTTTGTTAGTAAACTTCCTTGGTAAGCCAAAAATGATCTTTCGCCAAGTAAATTGCAATCCATCGCCATCGTTTCCGCCCCCTCCCCCTAATTAGCACCTCGACATCAAGAATTGCATGTCTCTCATCGAGGCAGATCCGGCATATTGGAGGCAGATCCGTTTAATACTGGATGAATTTTTCAAGTTCTTGCTTTTTTATCTTTCGTTTTGAAGTTATTACTTTTTAAAAATTTTAGTGTGGCATAACGATTCGCAACTACCCTCTGTGGCCTCTGCTAGGATAATAAACATCCAACCAAACAAGTACTTCTCCATTTAAGTGCTTCTCATGAATCGGAGTGTAGGACAATTTTTTTTCACACTCGCACCCAAAAGACAATACTATATCATATCGTTTTTCCTCCTCCCCGTTCAACAAAATCAGTAACAATCAGTTGACTGTTACAACCCCATACTTGCATGCGAGACATAACATCTTGCTGATTATTGGAGTGCTGGTCATATATGTGAACTGCTCATTTCCTTTTATACAGTCTTGTGATTGAAGTGAATACAAGTGTTGGAAATGGTTGGACAAACGTTTCTAACTTAAAAGTTTAAGGGTTTTATACAAACAATTCGTAATTCTGCGATTTTTTTATTTTTTATGTTTTTTTGGGATTTTAAACTCCAGACTTTATCCAAACCATGAGAGGGTTATGTATAACTATTGAAACCATGGGGGTTGTGTAAAAAAAAGGCTAAACCATAGGGGAATAAAGTGGAATTTGCCCTAAATTTCCCAATCACGTATAATTAGGCTGAGAAGTTCAATTTCAAGCTAATTTTGGTATGTGCAATGAACATGGTACCGTAAACTGACCGAATTACCCGCAAGTTCTTATTACCAAATCTTTTAGTTACTTGCTCTTGACTAGAGGTGTCAAAATGGGTGACTTGGGCGGGTTTGGGTTGGGTAAAATGGGTAATGGGTATAAGTGAGTCAACTCATTTATACCCATTTAATTAGATGGGTATAAATGGGTAAGTCAAAAAATGAATTGGGTAACCCAATTACCCATTTATAACCCATTTATTTTAACTTTTTGCACACTCATTTAAATTCATTTTTGCAAACTAAGTTATCAATTTATATCACTCTTTGTACCCATCATTAGTTTTAAATATTTACTTATAATGTTCAATAAACTTAATTACCAATTTTTTTTCATTTATACTCTATGTCACAAAATTACCTATTATTTAATAATTGAATAATAAGAATATAAAAATTTGAACTAAGTACTATAAAAATTAATATAAAAACTTAATCCAAAATTTTTGAACCCCTAACATTTTTTTCATATATAAATTTAAAATTTCATTTTATAAAGATAAGAAAATGGGCTAAAATTTATCATAAATTGGTAATGCTAAAAAATGAGCAAGTTAACAAACTAAGAGAAAATAAAATAATAAGATAAAATCAAGAAATAATAATAATAATAATAATAATAATAATAATAATAATAATAATAATAATAAAACAAAAGTAGTTAACATCATGAAAATTTTGAAAAAAAAAAAGGTGGGGGAAAAGAAGAGACTTGGGGGAAAGAGAATTCTAAATGGGTTAATTGGGTTTGATGGGTTACCCAATAATACCCATTTAATAAATGGGTATTATTGGGTAACCCATTTATACCCATATACAAAAATTTAAGATACCCATACCCATCTATTCATGGACGGGTATGGGTAAATTTAGTTAAGTGGGTTGATTTGCCACCTCTACTCTTGACTAAATTTTTTAGAACAATAGCTAGTTATTCTACACATGATTAAAAACTTTAAATTGTGCAGCTTTTAGTTAATCAACTTTGAGGTTTTTTTTTTTTTACTATATATTAGTTATGGTTACTATTTTTGGTATTTGTATTACAATTTTAAAATGTATTGAAAAATGTAATTCTTAAGCACATTTTACATTATATGTATAACTTCAAAAGTTTTTACCATGAGTGTAATATCCACAGTTCATCTTTACTTATTTATTGTTCCAAAGTTTGTTGAAAACCGTTTTGTGAAATTTATATAGCTTGGAGAGGGTAATGTTGTCGGTTCGTAGAATCATGTGCCTCACACTGCCAAATTCGCCCCAAGATTTGATTCCCTAACCTAAGCTACTTGTACCTAATTGAAACATTTATAATAACATAGGAAGTAAATTGATTTAATTAAACATAAAGGAGGCAATGTAAAAAAGAGACATTTTTATAAATGGGTTTACTAGAGTTAACCGTTTTATTTTTGAGCATGCCTACCTCATTTTTATTTAAGATTACTTCTAATGAATCCCTTGAACTGACCTCTTTTCTCACCTTGAATCCTCGAAGGCTCAGTTGAACCAATATACCCCCTAATCTATCTCTATATTCCCAAACAACCACAATTAGATAACTCTTTTGTATCTGATTGAGTCACGTGCAACACTAATGATCGTGTGAGTTGACTGAATCGTTTTTTCAAAAAATTTAATGGTTTACTTGGCTAGCAAAATAGATAGAACGAAGGGACAAATTTACTCCTTTTGGAGTAGAAACTTAAGTCATAATCATTTTATTCTAACCTCTAGTCATAGGTCTAGTCTCAACTTTTAGGACAATATTTAATGCTTATAAAATTCTCTAGCACTTATAATTGACCCAAAAAAAAAAGAAAATAGATGGATAAACTTGTCTGTATCAATCACACTTCATTGCTCTAGATGGCAATATTAAAGACAAGTTTATCTATCTATGTTTTTTGGGATGATGGTATGTGCTTGAAAGTTAAATGCTAGAGAGTTTTGTAAACTATACTTACAAAATGGCGGGTTAAGCTTCTGGTTTGAAAAGGGCAAATTTGACCCGTTATCTTATTTTATTTCGCTAGCCAAAAATATTACTATTTTTTCGGAATAATTTGGTCAATTCACACGACTCAATAGGTCACAAAATAGGTTAATAGACCGAATTATAGTTGACCCTCCTATTCTTTGGATGTTCTCGATATTCTACCTGTATCCTACCCAGCATCCTTATACTATATAAGAATGAGTTTTGCTCAAACGAGGGTTTGATTTTCAACCGCATGGATAGAGATATTTTAGGAATGTGGAATATTGTATAGTTTTTTTCAAAACTTTTGGTACAACTGAGGGCAACACGTATTTAAGTATATTTACTGAAATGCCCTCATTTTGGCACATTTAAAACTTTGATTTATGGAGACAACTGGGTATTTCTGGAATATATAATTATTTTGCAACTATTTTTGCATCGAGTACAACTCATATAAGATTATGTGTTGGTATAATTACTGAAATGATGTTGTAGACACATATAATTGAAGTGTGGCTTTTGTTGTGCAATTAACACAAAAACATATTAATACTTTGTGCAATCAACACGTTGCTATAACTAGACGTTGGAGGGTATTCCTTTGTCTGAAACAACTTATATCTCCTCTTGGACGATTTTCAATTGACATCTGTAGGGGTCTTTTAGGAGTGATAAAATTGTAAAAGTATTGATAAAGTAAAATGTATAAGTGTGTACTGCAATTAGAATGTACTATTATTAGTTTTGTCATATTTGATGACTATTTCTTTTTAGAATGTACTATTATTTATTCAATGAAAAATCCTCTTTAAGTACAGGCATCAAACACCCATGTGATGCACGGACACTCCCCTCTAATATAAGAAGAAAGCAAAGTTACTGTTGCAATCCATCTTTTTGACACATGTATTGCATATATTTTTGACAAGTGGAGTTTGGTTATTTTATCTAAATTTTTCCTTCCCTTTTTTGATTCAATTGGGCCAAAAGGATTAAAATATTTTTTTTCCTTCAAAAAATCAACTCTATCTCTTCTTCTTCTGCTTGCGGCAACTACTGTCATCCCTCACCTTTTTTATTTTTTATTTTTTATTTTTTAAAACTAATCTAATTAAGATTGTTGCCATGTTCTTTTTTTTTTTTGGTCAAGATGATTAGCTATTTAGCAAAAAGAAGTCTTTATTATTTTTTTATCCCATTTTACATTTTCTTTTCTTCCTTTTTTTCTTCATTCATAATGTTATAGCCAACTGGCATTTGTTTGTTAAATTTATAGGATGACGTTGTTATTTGGTCATGGATAAAAGGTGAAATATTAAAATATGTAAAAAGATTTTAGAATTCATTTTATACCAGTGATCATCTTCTACAAAGAATAAAACAAAATTCATTCTTTTATTTTCTCCTCCCATGATTTGATTTCTTACTTCACAATTTTTTCCTTTTCTTTGTTTTTTGGTTACATTTTATAATTAACTACAATTTTGTGTATTATTTTAGGAGAAAGATATATTATGCGATGCTTCCACTGAGATAAATTTAGTTAGACATTCTTCTACCTCTGTTTTTCTCTGTTTCTTTCTTTCCCCCCCTTTTTGCAATTACTTTATGATTTATTCAATTTAATTGAAGGATCCAATAAGATTTTGTACATATTTAAACTAAAGTTAATTTTTGTTTGTTTTTCAAATACTCAAGTGTTGGAGTATCAATTGGGTTGGCATATAAGGATTATAGTTGGTGGTGGAAATCACAATTGAGGCTTTCAATCCAAAGTGTGACTTGACGAAAAATTGTTAGAAAATTCAATTTTGATTAGGAAGATGCTTTTGCAATAAAAAATGGTTCAGTTCTAATTTGTATATGTATATTTGGAAACGTAGCAGTTCATATTTTTATCTAACCTTGCT